AGCTGCGTAATTTCTTATACGGTTTACTGTACATTAGTTACAATCATTTCCCTATAGGAGAAGAGGCATTGTTTATAAACGTCCTTCCCACGCTTTCATGTATGCGTAATTAATTCTTCCATGTGTCGTTCGAAGAACGTAATATTATCGTAAGATAATATTTTATCTATATAATTTGACATATTTCTAAATCAGTTTGATTCTTTGATAGATTTGCTTACAAGAGCTGTAGAGTGTGGAGGGGAAATAATTGTAGTAACTCTGCTTACGTAATATTTGAACGGCCCGATATGTGTACAATAATATTGTTTAAACCACCTTCAAAATTAACGATTCGGCTTGTATTTATAATATCTAATCAGAATTAAGGTAAAACCCTTATTTCATTAAAAACTTATGACTTGAACTCTGAGGTACAGAGAAAAATTAACAGCAAAACCTAAAAAGTTTTCATTCCGGAAAACCGAACAGTTTCTGGGGTAGCATTGCAAAATATTCCATGTTGATATGTACTAAAAAGGTAGGCTAAGTAAAATCACATTAAGGAGAAACGAAGCTCCCGGGGGAAGCTTGTTTTTATATCAGAAGAATTTTAAAAGATCTTATTAAGCCAATCAAACGACATCATTTTATCAGTAATTTTCTAACCTATTTCTTAAAGGTTATTTGCATTCGGATTTAACTTAAGTGGCATTGATCGGTGCTTAATCAACCTACTCTACAAACGCAATGACCATCTGTGGTTTTATAATATTCATTCAATGATAATGAACAGAATACTTTACATTCCACTTATAAATAAACAATCACGAACAATTTACTGAACCGAGGTAGCATAATCTTACATCAGCATAGTATTTAATCAAAAAGGAATGTTTACATTATGTAGTACATAATTATGACTCTTTCAAGCTTTTATAAGGTTTATATATTATAATACTTCATCACTAATATAGGCTACTATATATTAAGAAGTTCCGTATTTAGAAATCCTGAGGCACTTTTATACTGATTGGATATAAAAAAATTATAAAGAATGTTACGAATTGGAAATGTTTTAAATATGACACGAGATTATCCTGAAAGCTATTAATAATTATAAAACCCTTTCTTTGGTATTTTTGAAGTCAGTTATCATCATAATTTATAAAAACTTATAAATATTGTATGTAAATTATAGTTAAATCTGCTTAAAATCTAAAATACACCAAAGGGCATCAAAAAAGTGCGTGCGTACACATGTCAGAAGTGAAACTTTTTTGGCAAACAAAGTTTCTTGTTCATATTTATACAAAACTAAAACTTTAGATTTCCGAGACTTAAGAGGGAGGGAAAAAGGAAGATATGTTAGGAATTTAATGAATTTAATTGTTATAATAATTTTAATATAAATATTAAGTGTCGACAATTAATACAAATTATAAATTTAATTGTAATCATAACAATCTAATATACAGTATTTACAATTTTCTTAACCTATATAGTAATAATAAAAAGAAAATTAAAACAAATTTCAAATGTTTGTCCCTGTGGAAGTGTACCTAATTTAATCTAAGTTTTTTTTTGTACGTAATGACTATATTAAGAAATTTTTCTGTAAAACACATTTTTTATATTTATATAATTAATGATGGACTTTATTTAATTGCAATCATTTGGCACATTTCCAGCTTTAAATAATTTAGGTAATGCATTGCTTTGAGAGATAAGTTAACGTCTAAATGAAAATAAAAATTTCTTAGACATTAAGCCATTATATAAAGAAGTATTTATTCTATTTATATCAGATTAGAGAGCCATTTAAGAATACCCACCGAGTTAGTCATACATTTTCTCAATAAACAGAGGTTTTCTCCACATAACTGTTAGGACCGGTCCTACGATACCGACCTTGCGAGGCTAACCACTTGCTGCGAGGGAAAGTGCATACGAACCTACTTTGAGACACGATAATTGGGATTCCAAGTTTAAATTTTACTACTATATATCATGGAAACTTAGAAATTTATATTTCTTTTTTTAACAATTCGACTTAGGGTCGAGAAGAGTGCGTACCAATTTTTAAAAGGCCGGCAACGCACTTGCGTGCTCTCTGACAATGTGTCCATGGGCGGTGGTATCGCTTAACATCAGGTGAGCCTCCTGCCCGTTTACAGAATAAAAAAAAGTAAACTATCGAGATGATCCTTATGAAAAAATATGTATACTTTTTTTTACCTATAGTCTAGAAAACTTACGTTGTTAGGACCCCACGATGACTAGTTTTATATAGGAATTTGCAGTCTAAGCCTACAATAGAAGCGATACTGTTATACAAATTTAAATCCCAAGATGCGTGTAGCTGTAAATGTTGAACGAGTCCAGTTATAAGCTATTGAGATTAATCTTGCAGATTATCATGTCATACACCACTTGAATTATAGCATATTTATTCAAACCTTCAAATAAAACACATAAACTTAACGATTAGGAAATAACTTTTTAAGTTAAAATCACTGCACTTACCTTTAAAACTAACAAAGAAATACACTATAAAGTATATCTCCCAATAATAAAACTAAACAAATCTCTGTCAAATTAAAAATAAGACAGATTTTACTTGAATTGTATTGTATATAAATATTAGAATTATATTTGACCTATTTAGATAATTTTAACAGGAAGATTCTATGATCTTTAATTATCTAGATCCATAGACGGAGAATGATTGCCTATACACAAACATACACGTTGAACATTCCATTTTGAAGTCATTAAAAATATACAGAATTTAATTCATATACTCCAGGCCGACACGGCAGTGGTAATCTTTGAGATTAGCTTTGTACGCCGTATATTGTGCAAATGCGTGTATCACGTACGGACTATTGTAAAATTCCCTGATTGGAAGGTCGTAGGCTTTTATTGTACAACTAGTAACATACTTGGTTTGGATATTGTATATTTCCTACTGTTCAAAATACATATTTTTTATTTTATAAATTTTGCTGAGGGTGTCCCATAATTTTAACTCGGCCGATCGCTACTTCGCTTGGGTTTGACTTATGAATTGGATAACATTTTTGCCAATTTAAATTATAAGTTACGCCATCTATATTGTTTAGTGTGTGTTGTGTGCGTATTGTAAACTATTCAAAGGCAAAGTATTAGTAACCTCTCTCATAGTTGCCATACTAATTTTATCGTTATCCTTACGATTGACTTTTGTGCGCCTTTATACGTGTTAAGGGTATATCGAGATACTCAGGGCTGATTATTTAAAGATAAAAGGTAACAACGGTGACCGAACCGTTCTTTACTTCACCTACTATGACTAAACAACCATTTTCCAAATGTCTTTCAAACGTAGTTACGCAAAGATGCACGCAATGGGTGTGAATTTGTTTACAGTTTGGATGTTTAACGTGTTGACACACCTAATGGTACTGTCACAACGATGTTCAAATTGCTTATTGCTGCATTTTGTGGCTATATAATACACAAGACGTATAGGTTATTGGGAATAGTGTCATACAACATGTTAATACCAGAGTAAGATGCGTTATTTTATTATTAATAAAGAAAACATTGGCTACTAGAAGTTACAAATTATTGACTGATGAATTATAGGATTGTATTTTATTACTTCCTAGTTTTCGTAATTTCCTAATCGAAGTTACGGGTCTGCGTGTAAAAAAAACCCTTTTACATATTCAAATTCAAATATTACATACTTAAAAATGTATAGGGTATATAATATTTACCTAGAAGAAATTTAAGGTTAAGGGATCACAGTTAAACAATACAATTAACTAAAGTTATATTTGTTGCGTATAACGCCATCTAGTGATTTATAAGTCAATCTAACTGATGTTATTATTGTAACAATGAACACATTTATATGTCGCGACATGTTGACGCAGTATGTATCTAGATGTCGCTTATTGCACTTTGTAATCAATTATTTAGTACTAATTTTAGTTTTACTAGTAGACTCGGCCAAGCGTTGCTCTGGCTAAGATTTTTGTTATATTACATAGTAGTAAACTATTCAAGGGAAACGGTAGGAGAACTTATGTGAAAGGTAGATGACAGCTTATGTGAAACGTTGATAATTTTAACACAGCGCCATCTGTTAGAATTGTATCAAATAATAAACAAATATTTTGCAATAAATTAAAATTGCGACTATAATTTGAGATTTAAACTATCCTATCTCTCAAGTTGGATCGAACTGCACATGGTGTGCAAATTTGATTGATATCGGTTCGGTAGTTTAGGAGTCCATTGAGGACAAACATTGTGACACGAGATTTATAAATATTAAGATTTTATTATTATAGATTGCAAATGTAAATCCTTTATCAACAGCTAACTTCATGTTCTTAGGGTTAATTTTATAATTTAATAAAAATGAACGAATTTCAATTTAATTTATCTAAATTCAGTATCAGAGGCATTATTAGCCTGGTCAACCTCTAAGGTCTCTAAGGATTAAGGTCGTAGTCGCATCGAACCCTGTGTGAATTAATATTTCTTTCTCTGTATAATTTACACTTGCACTTGCTTGGTGAAATATATCATCATGTTCCATTGAACGATTGTATAGGTAATATTGTTAAGTTTATTCCAAGGCCGTGTTATAAAATATGGGTAATACGCGGTATAGAAATATACATTAAATGCTTCTTATTTTACATTTACTGCCAGCTCTCAAATCAAGGGCGTAGAACGGAAGTGAAGAACTAGCAATAAACTCTCCGCCACTCTTTTTAATCGCCAAGTTTTTTGTTTTACACAACGCTGCAACCATTACGCCATCTTCCACATGACATCTTAAGACATTTAATCCTATAGACAACAAAAGGTATAAAAGCCTACACAAATAAGCAGCAATCAAATTATGTTTTGGGACAAGGCAGCAAGTTCCACGTGTTGCAAGGCGCTGATTTTCCCCTTTGCAGTAATGAATTTTCATATTTAATTAAAACGAAAATTAACACTTACTAATTATTTTCCAGAGTTACAAAGAAAAAGATGCCGGAAAAGTGGTTCTGTACACCACAACTATGGGAATCGTGAGGAGCACGTACCAACGATGTGTGCTGGTGAAAAAGATCTTGAGAAACCTCATGATCAAGTTTGAAGAACGGGACGTCTTTATGAGCGTGGAGTACCAGGACGAGATCATGGATCGGATGAAGAGTGACCAGATTCTAGTGCCACAGCTGTTCGTTGATGGATATCATATTGGGGTGAGTTTAATTGTTTACACGCTAGATGGCAGTCTAACTATATAATAGGCAAATAAATAATATATTTGTAGTATCTGTAGCTGAACAATTTTAAATGGGTTTGTATCTTAGACGTATTAAAACTAAATCTAAGAAATTTCTATTTTTTTTTCTAATCATAATCCATCGGGGTTTAATTAATTAATAACCAGCAATTAGGGAAATATAGGCAACACAACTTATCTAGACGTAGGCATTCTAAATTTGAATAACTCAAGGTCAAAAATTAAGGTCTATAATTTCCCCAGCATCTTCCAGTAAGGTAAATTCAAATTCAAAATCATTTATTCATATAGGTAACACAATGTACACTTAAGAACGTCAATAAAGAAATACATATTAAATGCTTCTAATCTTACATTTACCTACTGCCACTCCTCAAATTAAGGGCGTAGAACAGACGAGAAGAACTGGCAATAAACTCTCTATCTAATAAATATATATATATATAAACGAAATAAAATAATAATATTATCGGAATGTGTCTCATTAAATACATTGTAAACATTGAAGTATCTATAAATGTCTAACCAAAGCCCGTTAAAATGATCCTCGAACGTATTTAAAGTCTTTGTGATACAAAGCGCTATGCTTACGAAGTTAAAGCTTCGGAGCTTATTCTGTCATTTTCCTAATAGCGAGTGCACTATCAGCAAGAACATCAATTAGTGTTTTAGCGGGTTTAGACCAGGCTTAATAGGCACCACGTGCAAGCGAAAGCTCGTAAGTGATGGCTTTTAGAATGATGAGCTTACGGTATTTGTTCGAATACCAGTCATTAAATCTATTAAATACGTTTGAACAATAACTATAAAATTCAAAATCATTTATTCATATAGGTAACACACTATACACTTATGAACGTCAAAAAGGAAATATACATTAAATGCTTCTAATTTTACATTTACTGCCAGTTCTCAAATCAAGGGCGTAGAACTGGCAATAAATATCAGTTTTTTTTTTTTAAAGAGAATTCACACCAATTGACCGAGTCCCATGCTAAGCTGGTGAAGCTTGAGTTATGGGTACTAGGCAACGGATATACATACATATTATAGATAGATAGACATATAAATACATATTTAAACACCCAAGACCTAAGCACAACACCAAATGCTCATCACATCGATGTTCGTCTCAGCCGGGGTTCGAACCCGGGACCCATGGATTCGCAGTCAGGGGTACTAACCACTAGACCAATGAGTCGTCCAAAGTCGTCAGTGATCATATACAGATAAAATATAAATATTTATATTTAATAAGCATTTATAGTATTTATCGTCAATAGGAGTGTATAATAATGGTTACAAAGTATATTAGATCTACTTGTTATGAAGAAAAACAAAAGACGACCGACATCTGACCAATCTCACTCAAGCATATGATTACTTCATTTGTTTTACAGATCGATTTATAAGGGCAAAGGCATATATGAAGTTGACGGAGCGTGTGTATGAAAGTTTATCTTTTGCTTGATGAAGTATAATGTTATCTTAAACCGCAATCTTGAATGCCATCTGCTCGCGCAGCACGCTCTACAAATTATTAATTACAATAATTAATATCTTCATACGAATTTAATTAGTTAGGGTTAGGGTTAGGGTTGAAGGACTCCTTTCTCCGCAATTAGACTCGAGGTTGGTCCGTTGTGCGTACGAGTCCTGGCTAATTTAGCCAGCCTAGCTCCTTCCAGAAGCACAGAAGTCTCCTGGGCACTTCACAGGCTTCCCGGAGCGACCTCACCGTTCCGAGGATTTTTTCACGTTGATTAGCCACAGCCTCGCATTCCAGGACTACGTGGGTGACTGTTTCCTCTGCGCTGAAACAGCCTCTGCACAGGGGGCTGTCTGTCGCGCCTAGGATAAAAAGATGTTTATTTAGGAGGCAATGACCCGTTATTGTCCCTATCATTATCTTAAGGTTAGTTCTGTTTAAGTTAAGTAGTCGCTTTGTCAGTTGCGGGTTTACTGCTGGCAAAGCCACTTTGGACTGTCTGCAGGCCGCACCATGCGACCATCGTTGTTGCTGGAGTTCAGCGGATCTCTGGCGAATCCAGGTTCGCACCAGCGAGAAGGGCAAAGGAAGGAGCGGATACGGGCCAGCAGGCATCATTCCGGAGCCTCTTGTCGCAAGCTCGTCCGCAGCATCATTGCCGAGAGATCCACTGTGTCCCTTTATCCACTGCAAGGTAACCCTATTGGTTCGGGTTATGACCTCCAGTGCTTCATGACACTCCAGTATTAGTTTGCTGTTGGTTTTTTTGTTTCCGAGCGCCATCAGCACGGATGTACTGTCGGATACGAATTTAATGCAAAAGTCATTAATCCCTAGCCGCTGCACGGCTCTGGCTGCTTCGGTTAAGGCGACACATTCACATTGAAAGATCGTGCTCTGTGTGCCCAAGGGTAGGTGTATGTTGATGTTGAGATCAAGAGAGAATATGCCAGCGCCTGAGCCAGACCCTGTTTTGGATCCATCTGTATATATACGTAGCTCATTTACGGTCGACCGATCATGTTCCTCTTCTCTCAGTTGTATAAGATATTTCCTGTTAAATATTAATTGGTTAGTGATTCTATCACAGGGCGCAGCAATAAGAGGTTGATACTCTATTGCCCTGTTGAGAATCGCTGTGTGTGCACTGTAGTGATTTTTTCCCCATAGATCCAGTACCATAAGCCTGATAGCAGCCAAGGCTGCCTCCTGCTGTATGTGTAGGTCCAGGGGTAAGATCTGCAGGGCCATCTCCATTGCTGCAGTTGGTGTTGTTTTCATGCAACCGCTAGCAGCGGACAAAGCAAGCCTTTGGAAGCGTCCGAGTTTGGTAATTGCCGTTTGAAGTTCAGTTCTGGGCCACCAAACAAGGGCTCCATAGGCTAGCATTGGCCTAATTATGGCAGTGTATATCCATAATGTTATCTTAGGCGATAAGCCCCATTTCACGCCTAGCATCTTTTTGCATTGATAAAAGGCGATCGTTGCTTTGTTTAGTTTGTGTTCTAGATGTTTGTTCCAGAGCAGTTTACTGTCCAAAATCACACCTAGGTACTTGATTTCATACTTGAGTATGAGTTCAGTGTTGAAGAGTTTCGGAAGTTTGTACGGTCCAAGAACTCTTCGGTTGGTAAAAAGTATTAGTTCTGTTTTTGATGTGTTGACAGATAACTCGTGCTTATTGCACCATCTCTCAATCACTTTGAAAGCTCTTCTCATGCGGTCACATAAGGTGCTTTCAAAGTTCCCAGATATCAAGATAGCTATGTCATCAGCATATCCCACAGTGTAGAGATTGTCAGCGTTGAGTTCTGTGATTAGTTCATTAACCACAAGGTTCCACAGTAGCGGCGATAGAACACCTCCCTGCGGACATCCTCTGCTGACAATGCCTCGTGTTGTGGAGTTTACCGTGAACTGTATAGCTCGTTGTTTTAGCATGTTGTTTATCCATTCTATAAGGGTTGATGGTACTCCACATAACCTTAGTGCTCTGGTTATACTCGTGAAGTTTGTTTTGTCAAAAGCACCTTCGATGTCAATGAATGCACCAAGGGTTGACTGCTTTAACTTCAGGGAGTTGCCAATGCGAGACACGACGTTGTGGAGTGATGAGTCCGTTGATTTGCCCGAGCTATAGGCATGTTGATTAGGGTGTAGGAATTTGGATAGCGATACCCGGCTGCGTATCTCCAGGTCTCCTAGCCTCTCCATCGTTTTTAAGAAAAATGAAGTAAGGCTAATAGGCCTGAAGGACTTCGCTTGGGTATAGTCCTCTTTACCTGGTTTTGGGATGAATATGATTTTTACTTCTCTCCATTTCAAGGGTATGTATCGGTGGGCTATACAGGCTCGGAAGACAGAGACAAGATAGTCTACTATTAAGTTCCCACTCCATCTTAGTAGACCTGGGAAGATGCCGTCCAAACCAGCCGCTTTGAATGGAAGGAAGGAGTTGATTGCCCACGTTACTTTTTCATTAGAGATTATTTTGTGAGCTACTTGCCAGTCTGAGCTGTCGGTATCTCTCTGAGTATGGTTGCCAGGCCTGTTCTTTGGCAATTATGCAACCCGGAAAGTGTGTTGCCAGTAGTAGTTCACATGTTTCTGAATCAGTTTTTGTAAATGAATTGTCAGGTTTTTTAAGACAACCGATCGAGTGATTGGGCTCTCTGGAGAGGCATGATTTCACCCTGGTTGCCTGGTTGTTTGTTTCAATACTGGTGCAGAAGTGTCTCCAACACTCCTGCTTCCTAGTACGTAAAAGTTTTTTGAATCGCCTTCTCGCGACCGTGTACTTGTCCCAGTCGGTGGGTAACCGTGTGTTCATTGCTCTATTGAACAGCTTCCTGACCTTCCGTCGGTGTCTCTCCAGTTCGGGGCACCACCAGTTATGTCTCCCTCCCCATCTTGGTATGGTGAGGGGACACGACCGTTCATAGCTTGTCAGGAGTAGGGACGTTAGGTTGTTTACATGTTTGTCTATGTCTTGTATATTTATGGTGGTTGGTATCGATAGTTTGTCTACCTCGGAGCTGATAAGTTTATAAAATTTTACCAAATCGGTTCTCCGCGGTATACGTCTAGGTTGGGGTTTAGGTAGCTCCCCTTTGATTGCAAAGCGGATCCACCTATGATCCGAGCATGATAACTCGTTGGATACGTGCCAGTCCTGTATGTGATCTGACAGACCAGCAGTTACCATTGTTAAATCAATAATAGTTTGCGAACGCGCGTTGATAAAAGTTGGTTTTGAGCCATTGTTTGCCAAGATAAGGTTATTGCTAAGTATAAAATTAAGCATATCCTCACCTCGAGTGTTGGTACTAGCGTTACCCCATAACGTGTGGTGCGCATTGGAGTCCGCCGCGATGATTAGCTCCAGTTTCTCCCTCTCACAGTAGTCAGCCAGAAGGCCGAGTTCTGGAGTGGGCACGTCCTCGTCACCTGGTAAGTAGGCGGACGCCAGGACGACGTCTGGTTGATTGTCTCTGGGTAACCTAATAGCTGTA